TAATAATAATAATAATAATAATAATAATAATAATAATAATAATAATATAATGAAATTGCAGCATGATGACAAGATACCAAATTGACTTTCTTATTTGCAGTCCAGTGTCATACACAAGCTTATCAGTCATAGATATTACTTTGTGGCATCATAACATCTATTTGTCACTTATTATCTTCTCCCCCTTATATTCACTGGATTTTAATTTGGACTAGTTTTGGCCAGTTTGGGTAATGGTAAGAGATTGGGGACTATCGCAGAAATATCTAGTGGATATGAGACTATAGTGAAATTTCATTATAGAAATAAAGGAGAAGAGTTGGTGAGCAACTGTGAATCTGTTCACACTTGGTCTAGATAATCTGTTCATCTAATTCTTCTTCTATGAATCCATACTTATCATGAATCAATGAAATGCCCTCAACTGCAGAAAAGAAATAATTAATGTTGCTAGGCAGTTTACTAAGTTGGATTTCTATTGAATAATTACAGGAGGATCTTGTTGGCTACTACAATGCTCTATTAAATGCCTATATGAAAAAAATAAATTTGCCTTTCGCTAATAGTAAAGAAGTAATATCTGAGCTATAGTAATATAATGTGCTAGAAAAATATATGAGTGGCATATAATTTGCAGTAATATTGCCATTTTGACTGTATTTATTACTATTTAAGTCTCCCACAACTGAATCCCCCATTTTTTTTCTTTTGTTTGGAGCCCACCTGCCTTTTGCAAGAATAATGATTTGCAGATTTTCATTCATTCTTTTCTTTGGAGACAAACCTAAAATTTTGGGGTTCAGAAGCACAGCCTTACCTTATTCTTTAGCTCCTGTCTAGACAAAGTTGAACTGATTCCTTGAGAACAATCAGCAATAGTTTCTCTACACCTGATAAATCAGGACTTACTAGAGTTGTGGACAACAGAAATTCTCCAAAATGCTGCACACTCTTACTTCTACCCCTTTTTAGGGAGAATGGGTTAGGGAAAAAACAGTTCCCTGAAGTGTCACAGCACATTGCTTTCCTGATCCAGAACCAGCTACCAGGAGAAATAACACCAGGGGTTAATATATTAATATATTTTAAGCAGAGCCCAAAGAGAACTCTAAGAACAGGTGGTTGTCAATCAGATTAATGAACTGATATCTGTTGCAATCAACTGCTGCCAGTTGGCAATATTGATTGATGTTTGCTACATATTTTGATTTTCAGGTTCCAAAACAGAAAAGTGATCCTAGGAACAGGATCGTTTTAGAGTTGGTGGGCTTTGAAGGTCCAAAAGACTTTCCAAGGCTGTTTGGGAATGTAACTATGCACCTTTATGAAGTTATTCAGGTAGGTTTAATATAAAAGCTGTTCTATATAATTATGCTGCAAGACAAAGAGTTGTAAAACATATATTATAATAAGTGGCTTTGGAGAAATTAACTTGCAATTGATGATGATAAGTTGCTGTAGTGGTAAGTTGGGTCACCATGTGACCAGACCCAGTTTTATGACTATTTGTATGATTGTCATGAGTTACTGCAGTTGTTACACAAATCATATTCATTAAACAAACCACATGGTTGTTAAGTAAATCCATCTTCTTCAATGGACAATTTTTACCAGAAGCTGACAAAAAAACATAGCAAAACACAATCACGTGACTGCATGGCACTCCATCCAATCAATGTGAGCCAGTTACTAAGCACCCAAATTGTGATTATATGACTAGAGCGATGGTGCAATGGTTTGTGACAGTTGAGAACTATCTATAAAACGAACACACATAGAGCAGAATCAAGAGACAGGTTAGAGGTCTAATAGTAAAGAGTTCCAAGGAACATGGCTGTTTCTTCCAGTCCACAAACATTACATTGTTTCATTTCCCACACAGAAAAATCCACATTCAAGACAATTATTTTCCCAATAATTTATCATGCAAGGGAGCTTGAAAATGGGAGTTGGCCTTACCTAAAACTTTCTGAACATTTTTATGGACTGTTAAAGCCAGAAAGCATCTGCCAAAGTTCAGCTTTATTAGTGAAGCATAAAGATCAATCATCTAGTATCAGGTTGAATATATTATTTTTCTAATTTCACTTCAATTCTGTCTTTCTGTAAACTGAGTAATGTGCCCACAGAAAGTTTCCATAAAATTATCTCCAGCTATTTATTGTAACCTTTCTAACAGTTCTCCTAATTATACCTTTACAGTACTTATATTGTGGAACTAACCAGTATTTGCTTAAGTGCACCATTATATGCCCATAAATTCAGCTGTCTTTCATGATTCCAAAGTTCCGTTTTTGCTTTTTATAGGCTTAAGGTAAATTGCCAATAGTAACTCTATTACCACAAGTGTTCAGAAAATTATTGTGTCAGTCTGTTCACCTTGAAAGTCTCAAACAATTGAGACCTCACTTTGCCTTTTTAAAGTTTGCCAGCTTCATAAGTAAGTAGATGTATCATTTCTCACGTTGGGATTTTTGGAAAAAAATTTACATGAATGTTTATGCTATTAAGGAAAACAAGAAAATTCTTTGTTAAATTTTTTAGTAATTTCTCATTACTATCTTATACTGTAACTCATACCCCCTTGTAGGATGATAATATAGTAAACTAATTTCCTACATATCAATGAAGGTGATTTAATCCATCTGTAAATAAAGGAAGATAAGTTATTAAATATTAAAGACCTGGCCAGGTTTTTGGAAGGTTTGTGAGCACAGGTGGGATTCAGTCGTATCTCACTGGTCCACCCGAACCATTAGTTAATTGCTTATGCAGTTCGGAGAACCAGTTAAAAATAAAGTGCAAGAGAGGTTTTTTTCCCTCTCTCGCGCTTCAGTTAATCAGTTAATAACTCCAGACAGATAGCCAAGAACCACTTAATAGTTGCAGCTGGGATGCAGCTGATACACACTGAATCAAGTCAATAAACAACAGAAACTGACAGGATTAGGGCAGGGAAACCACCCATCTAAGGATGGGATTAACCTCTTCCCTTCAGGAAGAAGGACATGATTACAAACATTTTCATTATAAAGAGTATTAAGTAACACTTCTGTGATCAGCTAATACTCCCTGGAGTTCCCCAAGACCTTTTATAGCTGCTGCAGTGTTGGCTACTTTTTGCTTTTTCCTGGGGGGAAAAGATACAGGAGGGGACAATGATGCAGCTTGATCATACAGGTCGTGAATTTAATGCATGCGTGGTCCAGCCAGCTGTATTGCTTCTGCGGTGAAGCACTCCATTTTGAACATAGAGAACATAGAACAATAAAGTTGGAAGGGTTAATGACTTTTGGCAGCATGCCCAGGCTTTCAATTAGCCTGAGCAGCTGCTCTTAGTTTCCCTCTCAGCTGCTGCATTTGCTTTGGGGTTGACTTTTTTTTAAAAAAGGGAATGGCTTTTTAAAGTTTTCTGCATTGTTTTAGTGGTTCCTTGCACTGTCCTTTTGGGTTGTACTTCCCTCACTCTTTTTGAAAGCCTCTAGTGATGGAGCAACCACAACTTCTGAAGGCAAGCTATTCCATTGGTTGATTGGTCTCACCCTTAGGAAATTTCTCCTTAGTCCTAAGTTGCTTCTCTCTTTGGTTAGTTTCCACCCATTGTTTCTTGTTGTGCCTTTTGGTGCTTTGGAAAATAGGTTGACTCCCTCATTTTGTAGGAGCCCCTCAAATTTCCTGACAGAACAATTAATCAGTGGAACAACTTGCCTCCAGAAGGTGTAAATGTTCCAACACTGGACGTTTTTAATAAGAGATTAGATAATCATTTGTCTCAAGTGGTGTAGGGTTTCCTGCCTAAGCAGGAGGTTGGACTAGAAAACCTCCAAGGTCCGTTCCAACTCTGTTATTCTATTATAAATATTGGAACAGTGCTATTTTATTGTGAGTTGGATTAAGGAGAAATTTCCTAAGGGTGAGACCAATCAAGTTGGCCATGCCCACTCAATCGCATGACCCATTTCCCACAGAAAACACCGGGAGCCACAAAACCTGGAGAGGTGTGGCTGGGGGGGTGTATCATGTGACTGGATAGGAGTGACATTGAGTTGACCATGCCCACCCATTCACATGACCACCAAGCCACGCCCACAGAACCGGTAGTAAAATAATTTGAATCCCACCACTGCTTGTGAGGCTGTAAAGCTCTGCTACTTCTTATTTAGCTTTAGTAGCTTCAGTTTTATTGTTCACTCCAGCAAACTGTTTTAATTTCAACTCCTCCATGCATGATTGGCTATCTTCCTCCACTATTTACTGATGTCTGGCTGAGCTTTTGTAGTATGGATAGTGGAAGTCCCTTTCAAGGCCAATCATTAATTGCTAAAGAAGTTAGGATTAGGGTTGATAAGAAAAAAAAAATCTTAGTCCTGGTATAATAACAAACCAAATTAACTACAGGAAGGATCCATTCCATCCTCAAGGCTTCAAAGCCTTTCTGTAACTCATACTAATTCATAATCAACAAAAGCTAAGGATCAAAATCAAATCTGGTGTTTACTTATATCAGATGGGTTAAAAATTCCCATTTAGCTTCAAGAGGCTTTGATTTTTATTTAATGTGGTGGATGAATCAAATTTATTGTTGTAATTTCATGCATTTTCTAAACTCTTTGAAATCTTTGTGTTAGACTGAAGCTTTTATTGCTTTTATGAAGTAAACAGAAAAGCTTTTATTGCTTTTATGAAGCAAACACAGAAAAGCAACTTAAATTTTTGTTTTGGCCCCCATATTTAGAAGCAGTCCTTCATTGAAACATGTCCTATGAGGATTAGAAACATGGTAAGACTTTAAAAAATTTTTTTTTTAAATAATATTAAATTTATATGTAAACAGTACTTTTTATTGTCATTGCATACATCTAAATTTTGTAAGCTCCATTTGTGTTGTTGGCATAACAAAGGATAGTTTATGAACTATAGTTTATAAATACAATAAATTCCAATACATTCAGGAATATATCAACAGAAGATAAAAATGATCATATTCTTGTCAAGAAAGTTTATTTCAATCCTAAGGAAATATTCACTTTTCTTTCTTTTTTCTGCAAATGAAATTGGTATAAAATAACAGAGTTAGTAATGAATTCTTTCTTTGGTAGAGATGTGTAGATAGTAACAAAGACCCAGTGGAAGCGATTTTTCAATAAATAAAGACTGATATCACACCCATATATATTTAGAAAGTTTTTTCTTGTAAATTGTTCAATCCTATGGTGATTTCCTCTACCAAATGACCACCTCACAAACTTTTTGATTCTAGTGTAAAACATTTCTAAGATTGATCGATCTGATTTATTTATTTATTTAAACAACCCTCGACAGCTTACAATAAAACAATCAATAGCAATAATAGAAAAAAATAGAAAAACCTGTTCCGTAGCCATATTGCTTAATGCACCCACATTCTCACCCAACTCTGACCTTACATTATCTCAATGTTGGGGGAAGACTCAAGATTTAAGTGCTGCCCAGAAGGATAGACAGATAGGGACCTATTGAATACCAAGGGCCACTATTGCTGAGCACCAATCACCCTCCCAACAATCTTTCCTAAGAAAGGCAGATTGGAGTCTGGACAAAAGTTGTCAAGAATTGTTGGGTCCAGTGACCTCTTGAGAAGGGGGTACACCACTGCCTCCTTCAAGGCATATGGTATACTCCTTCCTTCAAAAAGGCATTAACCACAGCTTGAACTGTCATCTTCTAAAACTGTTACCTCCTTGAAATACCACCTCCAAGGAATCCTTAACCAAGAGGGGCATGAGTCCAGAACACAGGGGGCTGAAATCACAGCCACAAAGACCCTATCTAGTTCCTTAGACCAATCGACTCAAACTCCTCCCAAATAATAGAGCTCAGATGACTCTCAGTTGCTTCCAATGGAGTTGCCCAGCTAGTCCAGTTCTGAGTCAAATCAAGCAACTTTGTTTATCAGATGTTGAGAACAATTTTCACAGCAGTCCTGTAGAAGAAACCCTGGCTCCTTCTGGTCATCTGAAATAGGGCCACTGGGCCCTATTACATCTGTCATGTAATAATGAGAAATGAGAACAGTTCACCAGCCTTATCATGGCAAGTTATAGAATACAGAATAACGGAGTTGGAAGGGACCTGAAGGCCTTCTAGTTCAACTTTCTGCTCAAACAGGAGACCCAATACTTTCCCAGACAAATGGCTACCCAACCTCTTCTTTTAAATGTCCAGTGAAGGAACACCTACAACTTCTAAGGCAAACCATCCCATAGTTTAAGCTCACTGACAGGAAATTTCTCCTCAATTCTAGGTTGAATCTCTCTTTGTTAAGCTCTCATCCATTTCTTCTTGCTTGCCCTCAAGTGCTTTGGAGAATAGGTTAATTCCCTCTTCTCTGTGACAGCCCCTCAGATATTGGAAAACTGCTGTCATATCACCTCTAGTCCCCTTGGTAAATTTTAATAAACACTCTTACCTGTGCTTGGTTGACTTCACTCTTTGTCTTTCTCCAGCAGTGCTTAAGGTGTCTCATGTCATTTAATCTCACAGAGCTGCTTGGTAATCCATATTGTTCTATAAGCACAGAGAGTTGCACAGGTATAATTTGCTCCAGTGTCCCCATCATCTGCTCATTCCAAACTGCAATGAAGGCCATTGACTGAACCATATGCCTGTGTGTTAGTGTTTGGGGATAAACCCCCTAGCAGAGTGTGCAGCAGCAGTCAAGCCAGGCAGGCAAATGAGAGAGAGAGTGGGCCCAAGAGTATACACACACTGGAGACAAAAACACTGTTTGTGGTTTTAAAATAGTTATTTAATTCACACAGAGATTAAGAAGTGTCATTCAGTCCATATGTCAGTATCCAGTATATCTATCCAGTTATCAAGTCTCATTAACAGTCAATACAATGTCCTTATCTGCTTGTAAATCTTCTCATCCCGATACCTTTCTCTCAAGGACAACGCTGAATCCTCAGCTCACCAAGCAAACAGTCCTTGTGTTCAGTTTATATGGTATCTGGCACAGTAGCCATCCAGAGTAAGCAGATAGACGTTCCAGCACAGCAGGCAGCAGACCAGGAACAGTAACCAGGTGCATCCAGAAGCCGGGGTCTATTACGTTTCCACTCCTACCTATATTGCTGCCTGCAACCGCACCCACAATGACATTGCAGTTTCTTGCTTAAAGCTACAAAACACTTAATCCTAGGTTTACATATTTATTCAACCCAAACCTGGTTGGTGTATCCATATACCCAACATTCTCCCCTTTTGGGTGACATAAATATGTAATGCCTTTACATTCTAAACCCATATTTTTCACAACTCTCTAGATGCTTAATAGCACCTTGGGCTTTAGTAAAATGATCAGCTACATTGTCCTCCGACATGCAGTATTCAGCTGTATCAATTTACTCTGTACAGATTGTCTTACATTAAGATACCTCAAATCTGTATGTTTACTTCTCGTTTTAACTGCAATATTAGTGGCCATTTGAATTGCTGCCTGATTATCTTCATGTACAACTATAGGGTAATGTACAGTTATACCCATATCCTTCAACATTTGTTTGTACATAATCAACTCAGTACACAATAAAGATAAACAGGAGAATTCTGCCTCCATAATAGATAAACTTATATGTTGTTGCCTTATTGACTTCCAGCCTATTAATGTCTTACCCAGCATTATGGCTGTTCCTGAAGTCGACTTTCTAGTATCTCTTTCTGCTGCAAAACTAGCATCTGCATAAGCACTCAATATGAGATCACCTTTTGGTTCTAAATACAGTGCATGGTGTAATGTACCTTTAAGATATCTTAGGATTCTTTTCAATGCTATCCAGTGACATTGAAGCGGATCATTATTGTGTCGTGCCAGCTGATTAATACTAAAAGCAATATCTGGCCTTGACCAATTGCTAATAATATGATAAGCTACCAATCAAGGATTGATACAGTTCCTTATCAAACTTGGGACTTTGTGTATCCATTTTGCAAATATCCTGACTCATTAGAGTCTTTGCAGGCTTACAAAGTTCCATCTTATAATCTATTAGCAATTTAGATATCTTATCTTCCTGAGATATCCTAAAACCTTTCTGTGTTCTCAATATATTCAATCCTAGATATCTCTTTATCTCCCCTAATTGCTTGATTTTTACTTTCTTGGCTAATGATGTGATTATTTCATTTGCTTCATCATTAGTCTTAGTTATCAGAGCAATATCATCAGTAAACAACAATAATAATGATACTTTCCCATTCTTTTCCCTCTTAAATAGACATGGGTCGGCTAAACCAGCTTTAAACCCTATATTGTTCAGTTCCTTCACAATATACTGGTTCCATTCATAGCCCGATTGTTTAAGACCATAAAGGCTCTTCTTTAATAACCAACAATCATTATTATTGTCTCCTTTAAATCCATTAGGCCTTTTCATATACACAGTATGTCTTAGTGGAGCATGCAAGTAAGCAGTTTCCACATCTAAATGGTTAACTATATATTGCTTGCTTGCTGCCCACACTAATGCTGCCCTTAAAGTTGCTGCTTTAAGACTAGGTGCAAATACTTCATCATAGTCTTTTGCACTTTGTCTAAAGCCTTGGGCTACTAGCCTTGCCTTATGGATTGTGTTTCCATCCTTATCAGTCTTTATTTTAAAAATCCATTTGCAGCCAATGGGTTTTTCATTACTAGGTAATCTCACGTTTTCATACACCTTCATATCCTTCAAGGATTTCAATTCTTTATTAATTGCTGCATACCAATTTTCTTTCTCTTTAGAAGGATATCTTTTAATCTCATCCACAGTACTTGGGATTCTATTTTCCTGGCACACTGTATTAGCCTGGTATCTATCAGGCGGTCTAGAAATACGTGTAGTCCTTCTGGGAATTACTGGGCTTGGTTGAGTTACTACCTGTTCCTCATCTTCAGCTATTTCTTCCTCTAGGGGCTGTACTTCTTCCTGTACTTCTTGCTTTACTTCTTTTTAAAGTTACAGGGATACTTAATGGGATTTCTGTAGGATTCAATAATCACTTCGTTATTGCTATCCTGCTCTAACTTATCCCATCCTATGTGCTCTAGAAATTGGGCATTAGCACTACATAACACCTTAGATGTGCCTTTCTCCCAAAATCTATATGCCCTATGG